TCTGAGTCCCTTCCCAACATGTGTATGCTGCAGTGCTGCTAAAAGTAAAATTGTCCGGGAGACCCTCTAACTGTGGTGCGATTGTAAGACTCCAGGTGTGGTCAATTATTATTATTACATTTTACATTTTAGCTAGTTTAATTCTCCAACACTCATAGTTAAAGTGCAAGGTTAGGGTTAAATGCTGGATAAATTGGTATAAAGATAACACGGAGAAGGCATTTTGTCATGTTGTTCTTGCTTACACCCATTTCATCAATATCAAGAAAAATCCAATTTGTTAAAGAAATTGAAGAAAATTGGATGTTGACTAATTGACAAACAACCAGCACATTTTCTCAATGATGTTTCCCAAAAAAAAAAAGAAAAAAGTTGAATCATTTCTCGTAACAAGAGGAATAAAATTCATCCCCATACCCTCTTCAACTGACTGCTGATTACATGCATAGAGAGCCTCAAACGCTTTACAAAATCACATCTCTTTGCAAAAGTGGATGCACTCCAATGATTTTGATCAGATTTAGCCCCACTGAGGCTGTTCTGTTCACATTAGAAATAAATTTGTATGCCCCACTTTTCTGCCATGGGTTCTCCATTCTATTCTGCCTTGAAAAATTGGTTTGAATGCCACCTGATGGGTGACTGAATGCACTTTATGGCACTTCTTTCAGCGAGCAGAATAAAATTTCTCATTTTAGCTTTAAATGTGTTCATCACATTGAGATCTTATTTGTATGTGCACTGCCCTGGCATTGCTTGGCTCTGCATGTCCAGGGGCCGTGGATAAAAATTGCATTGCATTGTAATTCCTCAGGGATTAATGCAATATTTCTGTTCAAGTAAAGCTGAGGTCTGCCTTCCAGTAGAAGTACAGAGAAGAATTGTGACAACTGTATAACTGTTCAAAAATGACCAAACCAAACTATAAAGGTAGTAGATACAAATTGGATGATTTGATCAACCAAACATATGGCCTGTGTATGAACTATGCCATGCCATCACCTTCACCACACCAAGACATAAAATGAAAATAGATTTTTTTTTTTTGTTTTACTATAAAGAAGTTTAAAAGGGGAATAAAGAAACAGGAAGATAATATTGCATAAACATATTTCACATGTTCAGCCAATAGCCATCCACTTATCTCCAAGAATTATTGTAGACTAAATCAATTTATTGCTGCATTTATAAGTGCAATATACACTTACCAGACATTTTATTAGGTACATTTTGCCAGTACTGGGTTGGACCCCTTTTGTCTGAAGAAATGCATTCATTCTAGTGGCTTATAATCAACAATGTGATGAAAACATTCTTCAGAGATCTTGGTTCAGTAAAGTGTCCCTGGATTTAATCATAAGCCTGTTCTCATCAATAACTCCTTTCTTCTGTTTATACTCGCAAGGTGTTTTTTGTCCTGTAAAGAAACCCATTAGGTCAATAAAGCATTGGATTTAGTCTCAACACTGACGTCACCACGACGATAGCATCGCACAGTTGCTGCAGATTTGTCTGCTGCACATCTGCGATGCAAATTTCCTGTTCCACTTCATCCCTTGGATTGTATATTGAATTCAGATCTGGTGACTGTGCTGGCCATTTGAGTACGGACATGACACATTAAATACATTTGAATATCAAACCATCTTTTCAGACTGTCATGTCTGTTGTTACACTCATTCATGGCCTGAACTGAAAAGGCAGATCTTCTTAGAGGAACTCTCCACGCGCGTTTGACTTTAATGCTCTGGTCATCTCTTTGCGAGCAGAGCATTCTACGGCTCTTTTCAGCGGTTAAGATGCAATATCGTGAGAGTTTTGAAACAGATTATATTAAGCTGCTGTATTTCTTTATCACTCGCTTTATCTTTCTCTAACATACCCTCTCGCATGTCTTTCTTCAGTTTATACTCCTAAGGTGTTTTCTGGGTCGTAAACAAACCGACGAAGTCAATAAAGTGTCCCTGGATTTAGTCATTAGCCTGTTCTCAGCATTTCATATAACTACTCTTATACATGCACTTTTAAAAGCTGCAGATAAGCCACATAGAAATGCACACACAAGACAATGAGGGATACCAACTGTGCCGTTGTAGCCAGACAGCTCATTTAGTGCAGCCTTCAGTCCTGTTCGGGTGAGATTAATTTTAGAGGCTGACTAATGTAGTAATTGTCACAGCATGTTAGTGATTTTTCAGTCCCATCCAAATCTCATGTTAGTAATTTGTGTGTGTGTGTATGTGTGTTCTTTAGTAGGAAAATAATATCCTTATTATCTATAAATACTGTTATCTCCCCTGCAAAGGCAGGGAAACAGAGTGCATTCTGATTTAACACCACTGGGTTTTGTTTTTGTTAATTGTTTTTCTATTTCCTGGTGGAAAATGTATTCTTTTATAGGTTTTATTACCGTGGAAGCACTTAGTGAAGCTTTTAGTTATGTCCTCCTTGACCATTATCGTGTGCCAAGGTAAGGGCCCCTGCATACACTTCAACATCAATTAGACTTGCAAAATAAAGAAGCCGTTAAAAAATAAAAACCACCTTAAAAACTTTGCAGACAGTGTGAAACCTTCTCACCACCTCTGTAACTGTAAGCTTAGATCAAACAACATCTGATTTCCCCCCACTTTGTTTAATTGCCAAAATTGGTGGGACTCAACCTCTCATGATTGGCCAAGTTTTTATAATTGAAGAAGCAAGAATGCTGTGAAATTTCTTTTTGTTTTGTTTTGTTCACCACAATTTCTGGCACTTTTCAATGGGAAACACCTCAAGGGAACACCGTGAATGGTTACCTGAAAAGATTAACAGCATTTGGTACGATCCTTTTGTTTAAAGATTTATCACATTTCAATAGTTTTAGTTTTTTTTCCCTTTTACTATTATTTTCCTTTTATATTTTCTTTAATTTTGTTTTAGCAGCCTAGTCTTCTCCCTCCTTATGCCCTCACGTACATCCACTGACACATACATCACCCATCTACATACAACACCTCGCGTACATCATAATATCCTTAACTTTATTCACTGTGCAACAGCACAAATTGTGCTTAGTCTGGCACTTCTACCATTGCTAGTTCAGTTTTGTGTTATAGCCAATCAGAAAAACAGACTGGCTAAGATAACATGCCAGTCTTTTCTTTTCTGCACTACTGCAAGAATATTATCTGGATGTCGAAACAAAACATTACATAGTAAACTTTATATTAACATTAAATTATTTCCCTTTTTAAAGATATGGTGTTGAAAATTCCTTTATATTACCCTGAACCAGAAATTATTGCCAGAAAACCATAAACCATGAAGCCAAAACAATCAGATATTATACATACTTAAAAAAAACTTTATAGACGACACTGATACAGCACACTCATTCATTTATTTTTAAAATGTCTGTCAGCCAAAAATCAATCCATCCATCCATCTAGCTTCCCCTTGATTAAGTCACAATTGTCTCAAAGGGTCAACCAAAGCTACTGAATGAATAAGTGTCAACATGTACAATACAAAACTTTGTACTCTACAGTGATCAGGCAGATTACAACCTCCTCATGGTTTACACGTAAAGGGTGAGAAAGTTGAATCTTTACAGTTTCACAATCCTTTTTCTCACACAGACTCAGACTTACAGAAATATTTTTTTCTAGCCCTCGATCCCCGGGGGTGTTCTGTACTGATTCACCGTACAGGTTCCATATTTACTTCTCTGAATTTTGAAGTGACTTGAAGAAAATTGTCAGGCTCGATGGGTCTTTTTTGCATCACAGAGGTCATTTAAAGGACGACGATGTAGCTATATGGTTCCCTGTGGTCTCCCTCTGACTCTGCGTGTCCTTTAGCTAGATGGCTCCCTGTGGTTTCAGACCATCATGCTCAGCCTCGGGGCCTCTCTGTCCTCTCCTCTATCAATGTCCCCCTTTTCTCACATTTCCCCCTCATTTTCCTCCTGTTATCTTGCCCCTCGTTTCCTCTTCTGCTTTTATGTCCTTGAAGAGGTAATGACAATCTGCCTGTCATTTTGCACTCTCTATCTTATTGCTCGTTTCCTCCCACTTCCTTATCCCCTTTCTCTTGTTCCTCTCTCTCTCTCTTCACATTGCGTCGCTCTTTGTCCACATTTTAACTAACTGCCTGTTGCAGACTTAACTTGAATATTTTTAGCGAAGACTGTTGTGCCTTATATCTTATTTCTGACTTCCCCATGAGCCATCCTCTCAAAGCTCTCTGTTGACTGCAGGCAGGGTCTGAAGATGACTAGGCATTTGAAAACACTGAGAGTGAAAAGGAGGCGCCACGCTTACATTTTTGCTTTAAAAAAAAAGATTCCACGTCAACTAATTTTACGTGACAAAAATTGTTTTTATTTATTTATTTATTTTACTTTTGCACTGGATAAATGAGACTAACACTGTTAAATGAGGACAGCGGCACAATTCTAACATAAATATCAACCAGATTTTAATGTAAGACATGTTCGCAACCACTTAGAATTTCTTTTTTTTTGCCCTTAAGCATTTTGTAAATTGTTTTTAAAGGTGCCATAAGAATAAAGTTGTTTTCATTAGTTTAATTATTTTCTATGTCTTCTGGAGCTTCTCTTCATCTTCCCTGCAAAAAAAAAAACAAAAAACATCCCCTGACAACACAAGGTCAAATAAAAACTGCTGTGTGCTCTGGGGCGCTGCCACAGGACACAACGAGTTTATCGCTGTGATGTAGAGAGAAGAGGAGATCACAGTCGTGCAGAACGCACCGCATGACAACTTTATTACACAAACACAGGGCTCAGCAAGAATCGCAACACTCAACAGACTCATAAGTACACATGAAAGACCTGCAGATACACACACAGAAACTCTCAGAGAATCACATACAAAGACAAACACACAGAAGCATCCCTGTAATGTACTTTTGGCTGCATGCATTGCTTTGGTGGCTTTATGGTCCCTTAGATAAAACTGTAATGTTAAACATGGTTTGTTGTTTCTTGTGTTCAGGATCCCAGCAGAGAGGAAGCCTTGCTGCAACAACTGAGAGAGAAAGATGAGCTGATTATGAAACTCCAGAGCGAACTGGTAAGATCTTAGTTCTAAAAGTAATTCAAATCATTATGTAGACTTTTGATGATAATGATGCCCGAGTTCCTTCTTTTGCAATGTGGCATGTTGTTTTTTTTTTCCCTTTCTTTTTTGCACAAGAAAAAAGTAAAATTAAATGACAGTAAGTGACAGCTTCTGATGAATCCCTTAGCAAATATAAATGAATCCAGTGAGGTGAAATATTTATTTTTCCCTTCCAAAAAATACTCTGTCTTTGTAGGTGATAAGAGAAGCAACTCAAAGTTTGAGACATGGAAGGTTTGCTCATATATTGTGTTTTATCTCTATCACAGTGTCTTTTTCTTCATCTTTGTCTTTTGGAACTTTGATATGAATAATTAAAACAGCTTGAGTGTGTTTGAATTATTTGTTTTAAGGATATAAATTAAAGACAAATTTTCTTTGAAGCACATTTTAAGGGTTCAGACTTTTAAAAGAAATGTTAACTAAAAAAACCAACAAACCAAAACACATGGATTTCAAAGGACTAGAAAGTGTAACTTTTGTTAAAATCGCTTTGTCAGTTTATCATCTTCTTAAGATCTTCTAGAAAAGATTGACCATAAAAGAGAGAGTACATTATGTGAGAATGGTTTTATAGTTGGCTTGAAGTCACAGCATCAACAGCAGAAAGCCTGTCTTCGTTAATGTAAACTGCTCGTTCACGCCAGCTTAATGTAATGACAAAAAATTATTGGGACTCCCGCCAAACGAGAGGTATAAGATGCGAAGCAACGACTTTTCCATTTTAAATGTGCTCACCATTTATTTGAAATATAGAGATGTAAATGCAAAATGTATCGTCTTGACAGTGTTTTCCTTTTTTCTTTTTTTTTTTTCCTTCTCGTCCTCTGGAGCGTGATTGTTGGATCATCTGCAGAAATGCCATTAAAATGTCTGCAATTTGTCACCTATTCTGTCGATGTAATGCAATGCAGACATTGTGCCAGGCTTTAGTAGAATAATGTGCCAATGTTGTAGCGGTATTGTAAGAGATGCCAGTCTAACCCAGACTTGAGTCTCATGTGGCATCTGTTTGTTTGATCATTCTCTGGAACATGCGTCTATTCCCCCCCAACTCTTTCTCTCTTTGACTCCCATCCTTTCGCGTTCTGCCGTTCTGTCAGCAGCACCTATCCCCCTCTCTTCTCTTTCTCACTGTGCTGTTTTCAGTGCTGTGCGCATCTAATGTCGAATTAATGTCAAAATTGAGCAATTTTCAGGCAGCCTGGCTGGCAGGCAGGCAGACAGGCAGTAGGCTACATGTAACGTCAATGTTCCTCTCTGAAATTCGTGTTGATGGGCAGTGTAACAGACTTAACACTCACACATTAAAACACCTTTTTAAGCCTTTTCACATTGCAGCTTCTAAATAAAACACATTTATTCACAGGTCTCTCTTCTGTGCATCAGTGTTTCACACTCCCTCTCCCATACATTATTTTTGGACCAACCCTATTATTGAATGCCTTTGCACTGGGATCTACATCCTCCTTCATATCCCCCCCTCTGTCATGATAATGGGACAACTGACCTCAATAAATTAGAGTTTAACTGTTTGGTCAAATGTTTGCTGCTTACAAAAAAATTTATATTACCAAAATGAGTCTGTTCCCCTACAGCTAAAATGTGCTATGATTAAATAGATCAAATAAGTAGATAAATAAAAAAAACCTTTTGGTAAATCTTGTACTCTAGATTTTTTGTAGGTTTAATTGTTCGTGATGTAGCAAAAGGGGGTCTGTTTTTTCACTCTGCGTGTTAGTTGTTCCACATGTTGATATTGCCGATGTATCATGGTTTTGATATCCTCTTCTGTTTTGGCCATATGTAGTGCTGTGATTTATGGTTAAACATCTCCACTGTTGTTCCAGATATCTTCTGAGTCGTTCAGATGCAACTTTGCAGAACAATCCTTCCACACAAGTCATACGTCTAGTCTTTCTCAAATTGTGCTGACTGGTTTAAAAGTAGGCTGGAGCAGGAAATGGAGTAGAAGAAGACTTCAGCTTAAACGGAAGTAGTGTGAAAAACATCAAATATTAAAATAAACAGCATGGCAAAGTCAGTGTCTGCAGTGGACTTTTCAGCTCGTGTAAAGCAAGAGTAGTCCACAAACCAGTTGTTTGTGACGCTGATCACTGGTAACAGCTACCACACGTAGACAACGGTCTCCAAAGCTGTGTATAGGCACAAACAGACACAAACACAATACCATAAATCCACCTTAAGATGTAACTCTTGGGTGTTTATTTTATTTTATTTTTTTAGCACAGCAGGTCTGACCTTGGGGTGGATGCACCGAGATGACCACTTGGGAAGATTGACAGCTGACTTGAATGTTTTCCACTTGTGAATAATCTTTCTAACTGTAGAATGATGGACTTTAAACTGTTTGGAAATGACCTTATAACTCTTCCTAGATTGATGGGCAGTAACAATTGCCTCCTCCAAGATCACTGCTGATGTTTTTCCTTCTTGGCACCTGAATGCTGCAGACCAGAAAACAGGCAAAACTGGTGCTTTTATAGAGGTGATGATCAGTTAATCAGGTGCCTTTGATTAGCAGCACCTGGGTGCTACTTACCCTCATAATTCCTTTTGAAGGAGTACATAGTTTTTCACATGCTTAATTTTCTGAATAAATAATCACACAGTGTAATATTCAACGTGCTTTTATTCATCTGAGGTTGTACTTACCTAATTTTAAGACCCGGCAAAGAAATTACCCTATGCTAACTTCACGATCTGCTACTGAAACACTCCCGCTGTGACTTCCGCTGTCTCAACTTGGGTAAAGTTTTACTTGAGTTTTACTTATCATACTAACGGAAATATAGAATATCACCTGACCTATTCATAAAACAGTCCAAGTCTTTATCTAATTTAATCACATTCCTCTTGTATTTACTTTACACCTGAATCTATAATTATGGTTCTTTTCTGCTTGTTTTTTCACTCTTTGTCTCTCTCTCTCTCTTTCCTTTGCTTCTACATGGGGACATTTTCCTGCTGGGATTATCAAAATTCTTCTCTTTCATTCTCATTTTATTCTCCTAGATCACACATGGTTCTATCACTCAGAGTTTAGGGTATGCAGTTGCTTTTGCATGCTCGGACACACACAGATGCTGATCACCGCTGACAGTGTGTATTCATCTGCTTGGCACTTCTCACTGACAGAGATGTTTTGGCTCCCACAACCAGCTGGATACGATTTCCAAACATATACAGCTTGTGTGATGTCACGAGAACAAGTCTGCGTGTTTGTTTGCATAATAATAATCTAACTCTAGGCCTCATCCGCACTGCATCCACAGCCTAGCCCTGTTTTATCTGCCCCATACGCCCTTGGGCATTGGCATTGCTTCACATTTATGAAGTTGTGCAGTTTGTGTGCGTGAACATTACAGAGGATCTGTACCTGTCTTTGTGTAAGAGAGTCTAAAAGGGAAACCTTTCCTGCTGCAGCTAAGTTAAAGTGCAGCATTTGAAGGAAAGGGCAGCTCATAGCCAAAGCTCTCCTCGCTCTGCCTCCGTCTGTAAATCTGCCAGTGAAAACCTATTAATTATCTCCTAGAAGGACCTGCTAGCTGGCTGGCCATCACTAGCTGTCACTTTTTATGAGTTTTCTTCTCTCTCTGCTGGTGCATTTTGTTGAAGGACCGTGTTCCAACTGCAGCATTTAGCTGCAGAAAGCCTTCCTTTTCTTTTTATGCATTTGAAGGCATGATTAATGAAAACTGATTTTTAACTCAATCTGTCAGCTTACTTGTGCTCACTCTGAAGTAGACAGTATATATTTGAGTTAAGAACTATAACATAAATTCATTTTATTCTAGAGTACTTACCATAAACCCGTCCTTACGCCTAGTCCTAATTTGGTTGATGAATTTTAATCAAGGTTAATGAATTTCTCAATATTTCATAGCCACTGCACCTTTCAAACCGTTCTCTTCTGTAACCCATGAGCAGCGTAGGGCAGAGATGTCAGAATGATTAGTGACATCGTCATAAAGTGCTCCCGGTGGAAGTAGTGCTCAGCTCTTTTCATTCAGAGGACTCGCATCCTGCTTTTTTCAAAATAATCATACAGGGGTAACACCAGAGTTGCTGGCAGCCTCCCGGTCAAGGTAAAAGTTCTGCATTTAAAGAAAAAGAGCCAAAGCTTTTCTCTCTATCCTTTGATTGTAAATCTGCCAGAGGAAACCTATTAATTATCCAGTAGAAGGACCTTTTTAGTGAGCTGGACAGTGCTACCTGTCAATTTTTATGAATTCTTCTCTGAGGGTACACTTTGTGGAAGGTCCATGCTCCAATATTTGGCTGGAGAAAAGTTTTCCTGCAATTCAGCCCATTTTTACGACCTCTTTGATTTCCAGAAAATGCAGCCAAAGGAAAGAAATGGTTAAGGCTGTTCAGAGATGCAGTTTTTCTTTTTCTTTTGATAGCTAACTAAGCATGCAAGCCAGCTGTACCAACTGTTGCGAGTGGAGGAAATGGCGTAAGTCTGCTGGGAGAGTACTTGTTCTCATTTATATATATTTGATGTTTCTCTCGCTTATTTTTTTTTGTGAAATTTTGGACACGGCTGATGGGTGTGTGTTTGTTTTCTGTGCAGGAGAGTGCCAAAGCTGCCCTGAAGATGAAAGACTGCCAAATGACTGACCGCACAACACAGACTGAACACATGGGGCCAGAGGTGAGTCACTCACAGACAGTAGGCACACTTTAGCTTTGTGAGGCTCTGTCACACAAACAGGGCTTTGTACACTATCTTTTAAGACACCTGAGTCACAAAATTAGGCTCAGTTTTTAACTTTCCAGTGCAAACTCTTTCCTTCCCTATTTTTCTATCCTCATATGTATATCATTGCATTTTATGCTGCGTCACAGCAGCCGTCTCTCTGCCCCTCCTTTTTTTCCCATCTCTTAAAAACCATCTTTTCATGTTGAACTAAATCTATAATCCATCTTACTTTTTTCTGAAGATATTTTCCTGCAGTGACAGTCATATTATAGTCCACTACCTGCTCCGCCCCTTCTTCCTCCAATTCCCACAGTGCTCAGAGTGCTGTGATGCATCCTACCTGCCTGCTGCCTAACGCCTTCAGCTGACATGGCCTCTTTGGCTTCACTAGGGGCTGACAGTATGGGAACATAGCAGACTTAATGGATGACTGTCTAAAAATGGCTGCCTGTGGAAACAGGAGCAGAGTTTTGGGGTCTGTTTCTTTGTCACTCTTTTCTTTCTTTTAAAACACTTTTTTCCCTCGTCTTCTTTGCTGCTCTCAAGGTTCCTTTATGTCTTTAATCCTGCTGTGTATAAAGTTGGCAAGAAACACTGTTAAAGAGAGAAAGCTTTGCATTTGTGTGAGTGAGTAGGTGCACAGTATTCCCACCAACGCACTGACTTCCCAACACACACTGGCACAGGATAGTGTTTGAGAGCAAATCAAATACATTATTTTGGACATTGATTTTTATTAAGTTTTATTGTCACTTACTACACATGGCAGTCATAGAGATGAGAGCCGGAAGCAGAGACCTCAGAGAGTGGAATGTTAATTGAAAAATCTACTTGTTAAATCAAGGCTAAAAATAATAAATAACACACAGTGGAGTGCAGACTCTTGAGTCACTTGCTGTAGCTATAAAGTCAACAAACACAGTTAAATCAACAGATATGGTTTTGCACCACTACCTAATATCAACCTAAGAAGCTTTGCATCAAAAGCCTGTCATGTTTACCCTGTTCTCTCGAAGCCTCTGTAGAATATTACAATATTAAAGTAGTCAGATTTATGAAATTTATTTCGACTTTGTAACATCTTGGCATCGGCGGATCAAGATCCTGTTTGTGCTTGGACGATATATTTTTTGCCCGTTACAGTGGTCGCAGTGTCAGATTTTGTGATTATAGAATCATAAAATCTTGAATCTGTTGATAGAGATACTGCTCCTCACTCAGTCCTGCTTTCCCTCTTTCTTGACACTTATAATGTGATCTGGAAGAAGGCACTAGCTGGTGATTTAGGATAAGACTTTAAACAGATAGTGGCAACCGAGGCTTTATGTGTTTACCACACAGCTAAACGTGCTAGTTACGATAGCTGGTGAACCTTATACTAGAACTTCAAAGAAGCCACAGAGCTGCGTTTTTTAATTTTTGTATGTCTTTGGTATACAACTTCACTTTTCTATGACATAAAATGGTTCATTGTCTTGCTTGATCCCCATTTTCCTGCCTAACCCAAATCAACACCCCGCACAGTTCAGACCGGGCTACCTGGTCAGATTATTGTGTCGATACAGTGTAGTCCAACAAAAACACAAAGCATTCATAATTTGTGCATCTGTGCTTTAACAATGTCATTACTCAAATTAGAGATTGAACACACATGCCTACTTTTTATGCCAGCGGAGTAAAGTAATCAGGTAATTGGATACGCCTTTAATCAGAATAACTGGTGAGAACCTTAATATTTACTTTACCCGACTGGAAATCGAGCTGTTTTGGGCTATGAACATGTAGTGCTAGTAGATGTTTCTGTTGTCGGGAGAATGGAAAGTAAATGTGAAACAGACAAGACAAATATGCCTTTTTTCACACAGGGTTTTGAAAGGTCTGTCACACACATTAGCTATCGAAAATAGCACAGATCTACAGTAGCTGCAGTGCACTTCTGACCAGGTCCACACAGGCAGGCTTAAGAGAAGAAAAATTCTGTGAATCTTGACACCAAAATTGCAGTGTAGTGCAGGATTGCTAGTGACACTCCCCCTACTTTGTTTCTCTGTGATGCACAGTGAGTCACCAAAACAGGTGCAGGCAAGGCAGGGACCTTGCTGTGCCTCAGAAAAATGCTACTTTACTGCTACATATGTATGATGATACAATCCTGAAGCCTATAATTTTACCATACCTGCAATCATTCTCCCTATCAGTTGTTTGTCGTATACATCTGTTGGTTACTTCACTTCAATTTTTTTTTTACACACACTGACACTGTTTGTTGGCTTCATTTGCAATTACTGGCTAATGGACTTCTCAAAACGTAGTCTGAAGTAGCTATGTGCAGTTTTTTGGTGCTCAAGGCTAAAGTAAATAAAGGTGTGGCGCTCTGTTTGCAGTTGTATTGGTGTGCAAATTTGTATGCATGCCCATGTGTCTGCCTATGCAAGTGTGTATGTGTGTATGGTTGTTTTGCGAAGTAGCCATTAGTCCTGGCCTCGGACAGCGGTGTCAATAAAATGCTGTTGGAAGTGTCAGAGTAACTTCAGTAAAATAGGTTGCGTTATGCCTCATACAGTATAATTCACTCATTAATGCTGCTGTTTGTGTGTTTTATGTGTTGTCAGTATCAGTATGGCCATGCCATTAACAGGACATGACTTTAGTTGAATTATTACTCATTGTTTGTCCTGACGAAGGGACTGCATATTGAGCAGTTACTGTTGTTTGATACCCTAAGTTCTAATATTTTTTTCCTCCCTGACTTTCTGATTGCTTTTAATTCTTTTCATTAAAACTAATTTCAGACAATCACTTTGATTTGCCTCACCAGGACCACCAGGTAGTGAAAAATATGTTCGGCTGCGATGTAGTGCATATAAAGAGAGATTCAAGCTCTAAAGATTCACTCAGTTATATCCACTCTCTGAGGTGAAGTGGTTTGATTAATTGGTGGGTAATCATTTTAATTCAAGAAGTGCCACTAATTGTCTCATCTGCTCCGCAGGTGGAAAACAGTGATGTTAGCATGCTGTATTGGTCTGTTTAACAGCAGTAGGACAAAAGTCTTATGGGCGTTGAACGTGCTCATTGAAGTATCGAAGGTACTTTGGACGTATGCAGTTTTCCAAAAAACTCTTTTACCACGCTGTAAAGGAAGGAATATAGGCGTGGATCATATAGCGATCTCTTCATCTTAATAGAGTCCATCCAGCTTTAAGAAGTCTGGCCAGTACTCCAGAGTATGGCTTTGGTGTCTATTATAAGAATATTACCTGGCTATACAGCCTTCCATATGTTCAAGCCCCTCGAGAAGATGGTCCCTTAATTAGAGGAGCAGCTGGTTGCCCGCTAGCAAGCTAGGCTAGCAATGCAGGTGACTTAACTCAGCAGTAGATTTCAGCATGTGTGGCCTGATTTTATGCCATGCTCCACCCCACCCCCCACCATGTGTGCATAAAAGCGAGGGGAAGAGTAACAGAGTGCATTGCTACAGCATGGAGCAAGCCTATATAGGTTAGCTACCCCAGTGCATCAAGGACAGTCTGCTAGCAACAGAAAGTGTGTCTACAAGTGGGGCAGCTATTTCTACTGCCTCTACCACTTTCGCGGGGTCGACCATCTCACTCTCTCCGTTTCTCTCTCTCTACCTCACGCTCCCTATTTTCTGGAACGTCCTCTTGCTTTTCCTCACTTGGTTTTCGTCCTTTCTTTCTTCCATCCTGCTTTTGATCGCTGACCCCCCGAAAGCACAGAAGTTAGCTTTCAGAAGCTCTCCTCTCCGAGCTCAGGAAATTCATGTGGGATTGTCCTGCCCTGGTTTCCCTGCCTCTGACACTCTGTCCCAGGGACAGCTCCTGGCCCCGTACTCAACAGATCTACAACTTCAGGCTGACATTTCACATTATACCTCTTGTATTCTACTTTTCTGACCTTCTACTAAGGTCAGAAAGAGAAGAGCTACTTGAATTTCACGTGCGTATGCCTCACTTCTCACTGACAAGTACAGGGTGTCCTTTCAGGTGATTGATTGCATAAATTTTGAGTCCAATTAGATTAAAGATACTCATCTTGTTACTTTCCTACTGTTGTAGCTGGAAAAACGAGCAAAGTTAAGCAAATTTAATATGCTGTAATAATAATTTTTTTAAAAACAAGACCCTTAATCAAGCACATTTTAGTCCAGTGACCTTTTTCAGCTGATTTAAGCTTTGGTGTGACGACAGATTGCCAGAATAAATTGGCAAGAATAATGGGAAAACTGAGACCTCGGTAAAAGAGTAAAAGTGCAATAAAAATGTGAATTTGATGTGTAACTAATGAAATAAAAATCTGTCTGCATATATGATATGTTTATTCATTAAGTGGCTATGGTCCAGTTGCCTTTTTTGTATTGCAATCTGTGTGATTTTGGATTCTGTGTACTAAAACAGATTTAGACATGTGTCATATAGTTGGTATTCTGGATCCTTATCACAAGAGCTATGAAAGAAAGTCTCACAACCCAGCAGCCAACTTGGAATGAATCGAGACAGTTACTTTGAAGCCTCTATCTATCTACAGTAAAGCGTCATAACTTTATTTACAGTGGTAACTAGAACACATGGAATCAGCATTCAAATCCAGCACGCACCATTTAAAAACTCTGGTGACTGTTTTCCCCATCATGTAAACAATTCACAACAGATTCAGTAACAGCTTAGTTCAAACAGTGTCTCTGATTGTCTCACAAGAGCTTCGAAACAAGGCCGTGCTGTGGATGCAGTGAGACTCTTCTTCTTCTTCTTCTTCTTTTGGATGCTCGCTTTAGGGTTTGCCACAGCAGATCATCTGCCTCCATCTCACCCTATCCCTAGCATCCTCTTCTGTCACGTCACCCCTCTATGTGTCCTCCTTCACTACATCCATAAACCTCTGAGGTCTTCCTCTTTTCCTCCTGCCTGGCAGCTCTAGCCGACCCAGCCACA